CATATTGATTTTGAGTCATAATTTGTTGCTGTGCTTGGGACTGAGCCACCAGTCCTTTTATCATAGCTTGCAAGGAAGATGATGATTCGGACTGTAGAGGTGGTTTGGTCTGAAAAGGTGGTTGGTTACTTTGAAAATTCTGGTGATGGTGATTTTGAGGGTTTGAACTGCTTGCATGTTGTTGTTGATGAAAATTAGGGTTTCCTTGTTGCTTATGGACTGGGGGATTCAAACTTGKACTATTCCATGAAAAATTTGGGTGCTGTCTCCAACTGGCATTGTATGTGTTAGTGTAGGGATTTGATCTGTTATGAACATAATTCACAGATTCAACATTATGTGAACACAATTCATAAGAGTGTTCCCCTCCACAACAGACACACTGCACTGAGAGGACTGCTGGAATAGGTGATGTAACAGCTGACTGCACTCCTTGGCCAGAAGTTAGATTTTTAAGCATATTGGTCATAGAAGAGAGTTGTGCTGTCAATGCAGTATATGCATCTACATCATGTATTCCTGTTGTCTTCTTTTGTGGTTGAGCACGTGGATCAGCCCAATGTCCAATATTAGCAGAAATTTTCTCTGGGATCTCATATCCTTCATTATAGGTCATGGCTGTAAAGGCTCTGCCCACAGTCGCATCAAGCATTTGTTTTGCCATGGGATTTAAACCATTGTAAAACGTCTCAAGTTGAATACAGTACGGGATGCCATGGTGAGAGCATATCCTTAACAGCTCCTTGAACCTTTTCCAAGCGTCAAGAACAGCTTCATCGTATATTTGTTTAAAAAGGAAAATTTCATTCCTGGACTTAGCGTTCCTGGTTGGTGGGAAATATTTTCGCAAAAAAACCACCATATTACTCCATGAAGGGACAGACCCTGGCGGTAATGAATGAAACTATGCCTTTTCCCGATCCCTCAAAGAAAATAGAAATAAAGTGAGTCTCAGAGCGTCATTAGACACTCCCGGGATCAGGAAAGCATCAGTGATTTCCATAAAGGATTTCAAATGTGAGTGTGAGTCCTCTGAAGGTAATCCGGCAAACTGTCCGTTTGTTTGCAACATGTGAAACATAACTGATTTTAGTTCGAAATGGAGAGCGGTCATATGTGGCCTAACTATCCCAGAATTTAATTGCTCAAAATCAGGGATAACATAGTCCATGATTCTTCCATTTTTGGAATTTGCCAAATTAATGATGTTTAAAGTTTGCTCTCTTGGTTGTTCATTATTTTCCGATTATGTGTCCTCATTATGATTATCATTATGATGTGGGTGTCCTTGCAGAAAATTAGGAAATGGTGGTATTGGTGCGAAAACAGGCGGTTGATTTTCCAAATGTGGTATCTCAGGGATGATTGGGGGAGGTAACTCCATGTTAGGAGGGAGGAGAGCAAAAAATGCTCTTTGAACCCTGCTTCTTTGGTGAAATGTTCTCTCAATATCGGGATCTAATTTAAAATTTTCTCCGCAATGTCTCCGTGACATAAACCACTTTCAAAACGGTTTAAAATGGAACTAGAAAAATCAATTCTTATACTTTACTTAAAAAAAACTTTTAACTAACTAATCCCTGGCAGCGGCGCCAAAAACTTGATCGCGGATATGCTAACACAACACATACTACAATTAGGACCAAAAGCAAGTGTACAAATAGTCTCAATATCGTCTTTCAAGTAATAAAAGTGGTACAAGTACCGGATATTGTCCACAGGGATCGTAGTAAAAGTTTAGAAGAAAGTTTAAGGAAATGATTTCAGAAGGTGAATTCGAAGACTTTGATTTGAACTAAGTTAACACAACTAAAAACATGATATAACAGATAGTAAAAGCAAGCTAGGGTGTATGACTTTTTGGGTGAGATGTAAATACTAATTCCAACAGACCAATGCTGTTAAAATGCTACAACATGAGATCATGCTGGCAGATTGCTACAACATGCAATCAGTAACAACTATTTTCACCAATTATTTTGAAAGTATTTCTCTCGGACTTCACCAATGCACTGATATTATAGCTTTCAACCCATATCTCTATGAGGTATCCAGACCAGTGAAAGTGACAAATGATGTCTTCAAAATATATGGATAAACAAATCTCTTTGTTAAAAATCAATCTCTCGAGTGGATTCCCATATCATTCAAGTTGACGTGTTCTGAATGGCTCATCTCTGAGTCCATTCTACTTTAACACTTCAGAGTGATCAACCCGTCGATAATTAACAATTTAGAAAATACAGACAACAAATCTCTTTGTTAGCAACTCTCTCAAGTCTACTTTCCATATCATCCAAATTGACGTGCAATCAATGGCTCAGCTTAGAGTCCATGGCACTTTAACACTTTCAAAGTGATCAACTCGTCAAGAAGTGTCATTGGTTTTATAAAACTTGAAATGAAATAGTAAAGCGATTAAAAAGAAAGCTTGGAATTTAGCCAAAAGTTTAATAATATTAAGAAATTTGTTCTTCAAATAGTATAACAACCTACATGAAGAGAGAAACAAAAGAGATACTAGAGATTATGAGGTGTGAAGTGTGGAGTAAGGTGTGATGTGTGGAATACTAAACCCATCATCTCTTTTTATACTAGAGATTAGATGGGGACAAAATAGACATTTCACACCAACTTAGTTCCAAAGAAACTAGAAAGTATATTAAAGTAAACTAATATTTAAAAAGCAACTAAATTAGTCTTAACAAGCTCCAGCTAATCTAATCATGACACAGTTGTTCCAACTTTAGAAGCCTTTCAAAAGTCATCTCACGGTCTTGTCGGTCAACTCCAAGTCTCATCCATCTTTTTCACCACCATCAGGTCATGCTGCCACATTCTCACAGGATCAACCAGCTTCAATCTATTCAAAAGAAGCTCAATTTAGACCAAAATCCACCAAAACAGGTTCAACATTCACTTTAGCATAAAAACAAGAGAAAATAGATAAAATGACTTAAAGTTGGGATATAAATAAAACATAACCTATCTTAAAGAGAATAAAATGGTGCTTTAAGCACTAAATATTTAGTGCGTATCAATTATCTTTATAAAATTTATAATATTAAGCCAAAAATAATTAGTTCATTATTAAACTTAAATCTATACTATATTATAAAGCATTTGACAAAAACAGTTAAAAACCACTTTTTATGCGTAAAATACTGTTTATTAATGCATATTACTTAAAACTCAAGATTGCAAGTAGATTGTGCGTAAGTACAACTTATTAAAGCTTCACATCTGAATTCGTGTAACTAACTATAGATAAACATAATCAAATACAAGATAAACATATCATTTTAAACATAAAAATTCTAAAATATAATTAGGATAATAATTGAATTCTAACAAAATATTTAATTATTATCTTTATAATATTAAATCAAAAATAAATTATTTCATTATTAAAT